GTTCAAGTTACTCATGGTTACTAATATTAATAACATCCCATATAATTTATGTAAATTTTATCATTAAATTTGCATAATTTATGCTAATTTGATGACGTCATTGGCCAAAATCCAAGATGGCGGACTATATCATTAGACCAGGTAGATACAGGTTATTTTCATTAAAATTTCATCAATACTTCCATTTCTTTTTCCAAAAAAGGTTTAGATGAAGGTCTTTAGTATGTTTACAATGTATTTTAGGCTTTATCATGAAAAAAAACTATTTTTGAAAATTCAAGATTGATGATCCAAGATGGCGGATATCTTAAATATGCATGACGTTATTTTATGACGTCACCGGTGTTGCTATGGGCAACATAAGACTTAGTACACCATAATATTCTGTCATAAACACTTTTGGTACAGTTATGTTGAATATCATTTAGTTTTCAGGGAAAAACCTATTTAGACGGTTTTGGCCAATAAAATCACATTAATGACGTCATAATGACGTCATATTACGTCACAACGACATAAAAATTGTAGATATGATAAATTTTCACTAGTACACCATTCTCTGAAAATTTGGTGATCATACGACATACCGTTCGCGAGTTCTTAGGGGGGGGTCAAAAGAGCCCCCCCCCCCGGTCCCCCCACCTGTCAAAAAAAGCCCGGTCTAGGTAGGGTTAATTGTGGCAAAATGGTCTTGTGGTAAGTGTTGACTTACAAGGGTTCTGGATTCAAATCCCTATAATGTGCCAATGTAGTGACTCGGGAAAATGCACTTTACACATATTTCCTTCCTCGACATGGTGAAAATGAGTTCACAGGTTTTCATTCTTGACATTCTCTTGAATGGGATGTAAAGCTGGAGGTTCCATGTTTTAGTCGAGCCGCATATTGAGAACCTTTGAAGAGTGACTAGCAAACGTTTTTAGTACCAATCGAGAGGGGCTTATGAATCACTCTCACAGAAAAGCACAAGCTGGTGTGTTACGCCGAAGGGCGGTTATACCGGCTATATCGATACAGATACAGATAGAAAAATACATTTACCGAAAATTGACCCCACATCTACAAAATTCACTACAAACCACATGACAGTTACAAACTAGCCAGCAAAATAGACAAGAAAATATGATAAAGAAACAGAGAGCGTACAGTATACCAACTTTGTTCCCGATTAAAACAAAGTTTGTGATCTTATATCGGGTTTAAATCTTTAAATCCTGTTTCACTACGATACGATATGCACAAATGTACCACACAAGACTGCACAAATGTACATGCTAATGTTGTAGGGAATATAGGAAACCTAACACAGTATGCTCACTGAGACACTTTGTGTCCAGTGTGCCGCAGTATGGGTATGGCAACCAGGCTAATTTCAGATGTTCACACTGGGGGCCACAGACCTGTCAAATTAGCGATCGTTGAGCACGCCCCTACTGGGGCACTGAGACAATAATGTTGTTTCAACAAACAACCCATCAAAGAAAATGTTTTTCCAACTAAAGCCACTGTTGACAGCTTCCTGTCTGTAACTTGTTGTTTTATCTAGATATAAAACCAGAGCAAGACTTCGCCTGCCCTTAAAAATGTTCACATAAAAATAAGTGCAATTTGCACTAACCCACAACCTACTAGAGACTCCAAACTTGAAACCCTCAATCTAAACCCCTTAACCTAATCACAATAAAAAGAAACAAGCACATTGCTTTTCCACAACTTGAACTACTGACAAACTAACCAACAATCACCAAAAGCACACTACCGCAACGTACGGACTTCCCACGACGCCCATTTCCGAACTTGATCTTGCTATGGTCATGAACGGTAACTTGCTCACAAAAAAATCGTGAACATCCATATGCAGATTCTCGAATTATCCTGCTAACAACAACGACCAACACAAAAGGTCAAATTCAATGACGTGGGAACTCCCCACGAGGTCCATTTCCGAACTTGACGTTCATATTCTCAACGTTAACTTACCAACTAAAAATCATAGACAACCATTTAAGGATTCCCGAGTTATCTTGATAACAACAAAAAACACAAACACAAAAGCTCAACTTCATTCACGTAATAACCTATCACGAACCCATTTTTGGCCTTGACAATGCCCATCACTAAGACAACCTGCCTGCCAAAAATCGTGAACCTCGGACCATGCTTTCAAAATTTATCGTGCATAATCTGCCAAACAGTGCCAAAACGATTTCATAGCCTTGTCGAAGGTAAAAAGTTACCCGTACCAAGGAGGTAAAAACTTCTTTGCTTGCCCTTTTTGGAGGTACATGTATATAGTAGGATGGCCTTGTCGTGAGGGTTACTGACTCTGAAGGTTCTGGGTTCGAACTGGCACGTGTGTGTCCACGGCACGGTATTGGAAGGCCGAGGCCTTCCCTCTCCTTCCAGTGTCCCACCGCTTTTTACCTTCCCAGCCAAAGTGCATCTCCCAAGGACACAACGTCTATTTATGTAGCCTACTTGAGAGGTGGCTCTCCTCAAACACAGGTTTTCCGACTTTACTAGCCTCCTGTGCAGGCTCCGGGCGGGTGGGAGTTTTGATACTGCGAGTTTTTAACTACCGGCCATCCTACAGCCAGCTGCGACTTTAGCGGTAACAGTGATCAGAAACAGACATACATGTAACTGCCCTGATGAAGATTTGATTTGATTTATTAGGCTAAATAAGACATATGTATACAGCCAGAACTGCCCAACTAGCCGGAGGCTATTATAAAGGGCTAGCCCTCACAACAAGAACATAAACAATTCGGAACAGGTAGCAGTTAACAGTGTCAGTTACACCTCAGATAAACATACCATTACATAACAGATGTTGCGGTCTAACGTTAACAAGCTATGAGATCTGGCCTAGTCGTCATATGTTTACTATAATTACATTGTGTACTATATTTACATGTCAGGTTAACATACTATTACATAACAGATGACAGACGGTCATGGAAATATCGGCTGTAAATAGTAGAACAATCAAGTATATGTAGTTGATAATAAGAGTGAGACCATGGTTCTAGAGTTGGCTTTGTGGTCTGCTCCTGTCTACATGAGTCCTGAAGAAAAGAAGAATTTTGTGCCAAGAGTCCTCCTGGGCTGCCGCGTGACTTTTTGGTTCTCCACCTGCTAACATGTACCAGCCTGGAAATAAATGCGGATGTCACTAAGGCCACACCGATTAAATTTCTTGGTTCTCTGATTCGCCTCTTCATTTTTTTCAGATTTGAAAAAAATTCTGGATCTGAATCAACTAAAATATGCTCATATTTGAGGAAAGTCCTTTTTTTACTAGTTGTTGCAGTTTTTTCATCTACCAATGCAGTGGTTTGATTAAAAATTCAAAATTCATTCGACAAAATATCAACCCAGCCTTTTGTGTTGACAGACACACATGCACACAGACACACACACACACACACACACACACACACACACACACACACACACACACAGTCACACATATACACACATACACACACACACACACACACACACACACACATACACACACACAGACGCATACACAGAAACATACACACAGGCCAAAAACAATTATTTTATACCTACATTTTTCAAAGACCTCAACTGCAGTAAGTATAATAACTATACTATATATCATGCTTACGGAAAACTCCGTGGTAGAACAGGCCACAGTGAGGCGTGTAGGGCGGCTCGATCAGGTGACCTGTCCCAGGGTACCTCAGCAGCGTGTAGTTAGTCTTCCCATGAGCCTTCACTCTAGCAATGACCTGCAGCGTGAAAAATGGTGTGAGTAATTATTGATATATGAATCCTTATTGCATTCTCTTGCCCAAATGGGTTAAATGCACAAATGTGACCAAATGTGGTCAAGATGATAAAAATATGAGTATTGCATACTGAAACGCTATATTCTAATGCTAAGTGCTAGGAGTCTATAAATTACAACAATACGATATACTACCTATCATCTACTGTTAGTTGCCCTTTCTTCTCTCTTTTTGAAACATCTGGAAACATAATTACATAGTTTGTCTACTGTACATTCGTTCTTGCATGACATCAAGTGTTTATTATAATACTCCAGATATGCTGAAAATGTTCATGGTTTGCGAAATATGCCGCAAGGGCAGTTAAAAGTGAAATATCATATACGTCATATCAATAAACTGTTACAAACACAACAATTGATTTGATTTGACGGTTGACGATTTGAAATTGTAACAATACAATACACGTGGGACACAGACAGCTGTTGCTGCATGGTGTTGTGCCCCACACATGGAAACAAATACAGGACAGACAATACTCATTTTCACTTGAGCTAAGTGAGGAAAGTTGTGTAAAGTGCCTTTCCAATTAGGTCACAAGATCGGTGGCATATCAGGACTCGAACCCGGGACCCCTTGGTTCTGAGTCGAGCACTCTGCCGTCACGCCACATGACCCCATACTCAGCCATAACTCACCTGATTTGCAAAGAAAACTGCCTTCACAATGCGATCATCCTCCCCTGCCACAAACATGATGGGACACTCTGCCTTTTCTACCTGGAAACATTAAATGTCACATTGTGTATAGATTTATCAAGACTCTACTACTACTACTACTACTACTACTACTACTACTACTATTGCTGCTGCTACTACTGCTACCACATGTACTACTACTACTACTACAGTAACTATTGCTGCTGCTACTACTGCTACCACATGTACTACTAGTACTACTACGACTACTACTACTACTACTACTACTGCTACTACTACTACTACTACTACATGTACTACTACTACTGCTACTACTACTACTATTACTACTACACGTACTACTACTTCTTCTACTACTACTACTACTAGTACTACTACTATCTCACAAATCCTTTCCATCCGCCGTATCATAGAAGAGATGAGAAGGTGTAACAGAGATCTAGTATTGTTATTCGTCGACTTCCGCAAGGCTTTCGACTCCATTGATAGAACCACCATGTTTGAAATACTTTCAATGTATGGGATACCTCTACCCATTATTAATACGATAAACTTGGACACTGACAACTCGCCTGGAAAACAAACTTGATGGAACTTACACCAAGCTTTTGCGCAGAGCACAACCATGAGCTGGAAACAACATCCAACCATGGCTACCATATATGGAAAGCTCCCTCTAGTGTCCCACGGGCTCAAGCAGAGACGTGTTTGATTCGCTGGTCACTGCTTTTGGGCGAGCGGAGAAATCATCTCGTCACTTATTCTCTGCAGGCCTAGTGGGAAAAGTTATTCCAGAAAACTGTCCTACCCAAGAATGATCTCCAGAGACACGGGATTTGACATAGATGACCTGAAATCATCCATGGCGGACAGATCACTGTGGAGGACGGTAGTGCAGCAACTTACCCGGCCCGAAAGGGACAACGGATGACGACTACTACTACTACTACTACTACTACTACTACTACTACTACTACTACTACTACTACTACTACTACTACTGTAATTACATTAATTGTAGGTGTCTTTAGATGCAATATGTGACTACGCCGAAAGAGTTAATAGTAGTTGTAATAGAAGAAGTAGGTATTCTTCAACCTTGGTGTTGTAGGACCATGAAGGTACAGTAATTAAGTGTTAAATAGAACCATGAATATGAACCATGAAAATAATGTATGACGTTAATAGAGGTTATGGGATGATATTCCAAATGGAAAGCTGACCTGGACTGTTTAAATCGACTCGAGTCATGGATAACGATTCTGATTTGTTTATATCGGTCTTTGTTTATATCTGTATCTTTGATTTTATATGATTATTTGATTTGTATCTTGTACTGGGCCCCATTGAAAATCAATTTGGCAAAATTGAACTGGGCTACCCAGGTGTCAGAAGATTAAATGAAAATAAATAAAAATATTATTACCTGGATACATGCCTGTATGCCTGGCTCTTTGGTTGTGTCTACCGTGTCTCTACAATCAACATGACCCTCTTTGGTGTATACAACATTTTCAGGCATATATCTGTGGACGATTTAAAAATATAAAATTATACACATATGTTCTACTGCAATACAATAGAACATTGCTAGCATGGGGTACCCATTTGTTACAAAACATGTTACAAAATGTCATAAGTCTGCATTTTCTCGAGTTATGCTGTTCACAAACACACACTGACACACATCCATACATTACAAATGTACACACACACTCACTCACACACACACACACACATATACACAAACACATACATACATACACACACACACACACACACAGATATATATATATACACACAAACTCACTCACACACACTTACACCTACACACACACACACTCACACCTACACACACACACACACACACACACACACACACACACACACACACACACACACACACACACACACACACAGTATTACATACGTACATGCATGCACATACACACGCATACACATGTACATACACATACACACAGACACAAACATGTACATGCACTCACACATAGTATTACACACACTTCCTGGCCTTGAACTTTAACCTTACTCATGTAGCTGTTTTATCCGGGCTTTTCAGCACTCAGCACGCTCCTGTAGTTATGGTCAGGTTATCCATAAACTTAAGGCTTTCAAGTGGGGCTCTCCTAACCCCGACCTCGTCATTGATCCTCTACTAGTACTCTGTTCTGTTGTGGGCTTTATCACCAGGTTCATCACAAAAAGGGTCACAGAGATTGTGTATCCAGTTACTTTGCTTCTTTACAGGTGCTGCCAAGCAGTTGTGATTCTTTCCTGCATTCCCTGTCGGTACACTTTCCAGGACTCCCTCGAGATCTGCGTCTAGCTGCTCCCACTCTTTTTCCACATTACTCGGGGGCCACTTGACCTGACCTTTCCTGGGTTCTTCTTCTTCAGTCAGATTTCCCTTTTCAATTCTACTAGTGGGCCTAGGAAAAAAATGTGTTTTCTGATTCCCGACTGACCTTAGAAAAACCTGCCGACCCTACACTGGACCCCTGCAAAGGACATACATTTTTGAGCTGATCAACCTTACCTAGCTCCATGATCTGACACCTGAGTGATAAAGCGTTGTACAATTGGTTTTCTAACATTCTAACATTGACAATGAAAATAAAAGTGTGCTCATGCAAGTTTTACTTTGTTAAACTGTATTCATAAATTGGACCCCTATTTGGATATCAGTGAAGTCTAAAAAAGAAAAAAAAAAAGATATCCCCTACCTACCGACCCTAATTTTTTCAGGACTGAAACAGGAAACACAACAATTTTCTTCCAAGGCCCGAGGACTGTGGTTTTGTGCCTGCCTCTGGCCCACCGTCGTCTTACCAAGCGCACTTGCTTGTACGATGCTCCGTACGGCATCCCATCTTAGTCTGATGAATCTTGAGCCCTCCTATAACTTTAAATTCCTGCAGACCTTACGTTACCACAGCCGCATATTACTGACCTGAGGGCACTATGCACTGGAAATAGATATAAGTTAGAACTTCATGCACTTGTGTCATTAGCCTCTGTACACTTGAAGAAGCCACACAGGCGAAACCGGTCATGTGACAGGCTGAAAAAAAGTTCTAAACGGGAACTATGCGGCTCCAGATGTCTTACTGAGGGACGACTGCGTGTGCAAGATGTCGGTTAGCTTAACCCTCAAACACCCGAATTTGAACGGGGTCCATTTGGACCCCAGGCGTATATTTTCATGTGCTATTTGAATTTTTTTCATTCGAAAAAAATTCCTCCCATGACTTTGTCGATAAACATCTTCTACTAGTTCTCCTAATTTTTATTTTTTGGAGATCGGCACAAATTTGTGAAAATAACAACGGAATTCTTATGTAAGACCGACTGGGGTCCAAACGGACCCCAGCCATGTATTTGCACTGTCCTACATTGTACACACATAATTGTTCGGATGTCCTCAATATGTCTTCAAGGAAGCATTATTGCTTTAATATTATGCAGTTTGGCAAGTATCCTTAACCTCAGGAATTAGGTCATCAGGTTTTCAGAGGTTTGACAATTTGACAATTTGACAATCATATGAGGTCAAAGGTCAACCCCATGATCATGCCTGCAGGCCTCAACCTATTTTTGCATAAATTATGATAATGAGCCGGAATTTTTTAACACTTAATCATGCTAAAATATACCTCTTACTATGTTTACCTAATATATGTGCAAAGATCACTGAAAGAATGCAAAAAGGATTATAAATTTGAAAGAAACCAAATGGGGTCCATTTGGACCCCGTTCGGGCATCAACGTCACAAAAAAAGTTCGGGTGTTTGAAGGTTAAGGAATGAATCCCCTCTACTATATACCACAGCTGCATATTTCTGTTACACACACACACACACACACACACACACACACACACACACACACACACACACACACAAACACGCATACATGACATGTATAATCAAATTACCAATTGCACTACTGTTTGTCAATCACAATGATGATATTGTAACGTAAACTACCCCAAGGAATATAAATCAAAAGGTACCACATTTATCTAAAAAATATGCTCACTGTGCACAAGGTAAGACTTTGCCCTTATAAGGCAGTGGAGCCCCGGTTACGGCAGCGTGCGACCCAATCGCTACTGCCGCTGCAACCTGCAGGGGAAAATCAACTCTTCAAGTTCAACATCCAATTGTGAATTTAAAAATGAGAACCCAGTATTAGGGCAGGTAAATGTAAATATCAGAAATACCGGCATGGCTCCAATTTTACCTGCACAAACAAATAAAACAAACAAACAAACAAAAACATGTGAAGCCCTTTACATGATGATAGAAAAGAGAAGATAAGGATTTCTTTCACGTAAGAAGTTTAGCTATTTGCCTTGCATCTCTATTTTGCGTCAATACACTGTGGTGGTATTTTAAATAATGGTCAGACTTGGAGTATTTGGCTCAGAATCAAAAGGTCAGGGGTTCGATCCCCTGACATGCCCACTGTTGTGCCTTAGGAAAGGCATTTTACAAAATGTACATGACTTACAACCCTTACTGTACGGTGTAGTGACGCCAGCTAATCCATTATCTAAAGTTTGTCCCAGCACTTGTGAGGACACACACTGATTCATGTGTTGCCAATTCACCAAGAACTGCATTTACCACTGTGACAAAGAACAGTAAATCTAAACAATAATCACACTGTACCTTGTTCCCCATGTGCGAGGCAATGCTTAAAGCTATCTCCCCTCCCTTTGAGGTGGACAAAATGCCCACACCATGGCTCTGGACATTGGAGAGACTAAGCAGCCAGTCCACTGCTTCCTGTAATATCAAAAGATACATAATATGATTATAGATATAATACATTACATTATAGACTCTAGATCTGTACAACTAGACGTTTATAGATAAGGTACATGTAGGATTCCAATCGTGTAACCTGTATTTTGTTATACTTTATCTGACACTGACTTGTTCCCTGTAAGTGTAATGTTAATACAAATTTAAAGTGGCCACAAGGCTGATTTGGGTATCTAATGACTAAACAAACACACAAAACAAACAAACATACAAACAAGAAAAATGTGTAAATATCTAGTAATTGGAAGAAAGAAGAGAGAGCAAACTAATGATGATGATGACAATTAAATATATGAAGGTTGTATGATATGATAAAAATGTAACTGTACCTCGAAATAATCTAGGTCAATGTCGTTTATCTCTTTTGGAAGATCGTCGTAAGCGAGGAATGCCAGGGCGAGAACAGCGAAGCCTCGCGATGCCAGGAGCGCCGCACGGTACTCGGCTAAACCTCCGGTAGACCCGAACAGGTCGATAACTCCTGCAAACGGGCCTTTTCCTGTGGTTAAGGTGTCAGATGCACAAGAGACAAGCGGTTGGGTACTTTGAACAGAGCTCAGAACACACATCTGGGTTTGGGTTAATGTTTTACCAAGAAAGAAAGGGTTTGAAGGGTTCTGAACAAACTTCTGTTTGTCTGCTTGTTTGAAACATTTTTCACTCATTAAAAGATAAAATCAGCCTGCAGGCTTACAGAAGATACAAAACTTATTGTTAAGTGTTGCCAGGACCCCCCAAGAGAACCTCATGGCTTCAGATATCTTGTCTTTATGTTTTCTAAAGAAATGATGATGAAAACAGGACTAATCTCACCTGGAGGTAGAAACAACGTTCCCCGGACACGCCCTTCCCTCACAGGTATCCTCTCCACACCTTCCCCCAGGTACCACCTCTCCACAGTTGTAGCCGCGAGACAGTCAGGCAGGTTCTCTTCTTCTCCAGTCACGTCCACATGTCCGTCGTGCAGGCTGAGGTTGACCAGGAACGGTGTGGAGACGTCCTTCTTCCTGAGCCGCAGCCCGGGTTTCTGCCCAGGGGAGGGCTGCAGGCTCCAGAACAGACCCATCTGTTCTATGCCTGAGTGTTACAGATGTGAAATAAGAAAACAAATGGTACTAGAAAGGTGACATTTTCAAAGCGATTTCCGGAGAGGTAGTATAAATAAATGAAAATGAAAAAGATATGAATGAAATATATATATATAGTTAGACAGGAGTATGAATCCCTCCTGCTAAAAAATTGCAACATGATTTAACCCAACACTAGTTACCATGGTGACAGACATCTGGTCCTGGTCATTGACCTTCTTTGTTTGAACAAAAAGACGAGGAAGAAACAGAGCAAAAATAAAATTACCTGTGTACGTCCCTCCCAGTGCAGACTGTTTCCCAGCACTGTCGGCCATGTAATGTGCGTAGGACTGGAACCGCGCCGCCCCCTCCACCAGCTGTGCCTGTGTAATAACATTTCAAAAATGAAGAAAACTGAAGAAAACTGCAAAAAGAAGAAAACATTGCCATTTGGCATCGTCAAGTGTTGGCCTCTATGTTATGTGGCCACAGTTTTGCCCAAGGCATATACAAAATTGCATGTTAACCTTAAACACCTTGAACCTATACCCTAAACCTCTGGAATTAAATCCGGACCCGAACCTAAATGTGGGTTTATGTACACAGCACTACTCCATATTGTCACTTACAAATTACCATAATACAAATCCATAACCGTTATATACCTGTAAAGTAACCGGCTGACGGGGAAACAGGCTCTCCACGGTGATGTCCACTCTCTCGTCCACCAGGGCTCGGGACGGGCTCACCAACAGCCGCGCTGCCTGGACGCTCATCCTTCTGATAAAGAATTGCAACAAACTTAACCCTTCACTCAACCGCGGCGGCGCAGGGGCTGACATTGTCTACCAGATACCATTGACCCACCAGTGCTGACATCACACTTCAGAGAAGCCACGTGACAAGCCTCACTGGGTCAGTCTACTGAGGAAGACCAGAGTGACTGGTTGAAAGCTCTAGGTGAGGGATCTTTTTTGTGTTGGATCGAAAGTTCTAACTTTAAGCAAACTTAACTACTTTGAAGTTAAAACTTTTGATCCAACACAAGAGATAATTAGCTCTCACCTAGAGTCACTCTTCTCTTTCTCAATAGACTGACCCAGTGAGACTTGTCACGTGGCTTCTTTGAAGTGTGACGTCAACACTGGGTCAAAGGTAGTCGACGTCGGCCCCCGTCACTGTTAAGTGAAGGGTTATGGACCCTGGTGTAAATAACCGCTTTTACCTCTCTCAGGAGGCAATAAACTTTGATCTCATAAATGAACTAAATTGTATGTTTGAGGCTTTGTTTATTCACGAAATATCCAAATCAGTCTGCCAGCTGACCACTTTTGGAGTCATATGAGGGAAGAGTTTAGGGTCAGATCGCAAAGAGGTCACAGATACAGTATAATACTAGTATTAAACAAGTCATGATTGAAAATTTCTACCAAATCCATGAACCTCTACAGTACGTAATAAAACAACCACTAGTTCACATGGAAGGGGCATGTAGGCACTGTCATAACGCTGAAGACTGTGTCACGTTGAACTAGCTGAACTTACTACTAAACTAGTACTGTTTTTGTGATTATTTGCAAGTTTGATTCCAGCTATTTGAAAATTTGTTGTTGTTGATTTCAACAATCAATTCTTGCTAGTGTCCTCTAACTCACCTTTGCAAATCAGGTCAATGACCGTTTACTCAGGTAACCCCAACGACTTTTAGTTTGTTAATTTTACAAAACAGCCGATATGAATTATATTCCTCTTTGATACCGTACCTGTACTGTATCCTTGCTATCTTCAGCATGGTGCTTCGTTGAAATTTTCACAGTATTTTGTTAGAAACGTTTTGCAATACTTTTGGTGTTCTTCTTGCCCGACGGCACACGCCCTCGCCTCCTCCCACCGCAAGCGTCTTGACCTCTGACCCCACTGTTCTCCGTGACCTGATGACCACAATAATGTTAATTTATGAACTGGTTACAACTTTTTTGGTAAAACCCAGAACATAGGGACTAGCCTCTACCATGCTTCGGGAAGCTCCTGGAAAGAGTTGAATTAGCCAAATAGACAGATAACGTGCCGGGGGAGAGGGCCAACTCCCTTGGCATGTTAGCAAGGAATCAACTTTGATTTTTAAACCTCCTTGGCCAATTTCGGGCTACAGTTTTCAGCCGCTTCCCGAAGCCTGGTAGAGGCTACCCTGTGACCACGTTTAGCGTAATGATAAACGTTCGCTTAATACAAGAATAACAACATCAAAAACAACATTGTCTTTGGGACCGCTTTTTTTCAGCTAGGCACATTTTCCAAGTTTCCAAAATCCTTCCCATTCAAAAGTTTACCCCTACCTCACGGCCCGTCAGTGGTTATTATGATCTTACGTTTATGGTGAATGTCCGGCTGTTCTTGGTGAATGTCCGGCTTTCGGCAACTCTCTGTAACATGAAAGTCCATTTACCGTGGTTACCCATCTCAATTCTCCGGTAGGACACAATTGGGTCTTCTCTCAGTGCAGATGTAACCTTTTAAACTGGGACACCACAGCTATATTGAGCGGTAGTGATCAGACATCAATCACAAGTTCTCCAAAAGCAGCATCGTCCTCAGTCAGGATATTGTATTTTGAAGTACAGAAAAATTCCAGCCAACAAAAAGACGCTACTAAACCACAGGAATACAAAGGTGGTACTGTAAATTTGCGGTAACCGGTATGTATGAGCGACGTATACGACAAGCCGGCACATGCTGGCTTTTTGCGAAATCTATGAATCTGCACTGTACGTATGTACTGAGATCTTCAGTCGTGGAGCTTCGGTAGCCTGGGTGCCCGGCTAGCTCGTACCGTACCGCTAACTAGTACTATGGACTACCTAGTCCTAGAGCCAGGCCAGAGCCTCGGTGAACAGGCGAAAATTAATGCGCGAGCGGATGTCATCCATTAAATTAAGGCGGTGTGGCCTCACCATGCTAACTTCTTGTGCGACCTGTGTGTGAAGGCATTCCCCTACCCATAATGACTATAGTTGTTATGACGTTATATCAGGTGAGGTGGCATCGACCTTCTCTTACAGCCTTATTTGGATAGACTCGTTTTTAAAGAGACCACCAACAGGGCACATCCATACTCACATCGATATAGTATGAACACAATAGACATCATGCCAAACACAAATAGGGACATTTCTACAATCAACCTGTCAACAGACGGCACACAGACGGGTAATAAAGAATAAAAATACTCCAAGCAAATCTTTTCGGGGGGACGGCATTATTAAGTTGGCCGGGCCGTATACCTATCCAGCCAAGTTTAGAGGACCTTACACCGACGAAATTTGCTTGGCTATTGATTAAGAAAACCCGTGATTCACACACAAAGTTGCTTCAGAGTTACAAAGGGAAACAGACTTACCTGAAGCCACGCCCTACCCTGCCGATGTTGAGGAGTAAGACTGACTAACCGAGACTTAGGGACCGCCCAAGACCTTTATAGCCTCCACAGGCAGGCTTCTTCGCGGGCCCTAGCCTCCACAGGCAGGCTTCTTCGCGGGCCCCTTGGCTTATCCTGTGCTGTTTTCTGATTGTACGCTAGTCCAGCTGATTGTACCGGAGTTTTAACAGTCATCTAGCCTGAAGTCGCTTAGAAACTCACCACAACAAAAACTGATGTAAAACCAGAAAACAGCTCATGATCAAAGAAGAAAAACCACCTAGAACCCTGTTTTGTAGGCTAAATTAGGTGACGTATTCTTAGGTGAAACCTAAAATTAGTGATCTGCACAGGAATTCTATCAATAGAAAGGTCAATCAATGGGTTTAACAGCGATAACTTTAAATCTAGCGCAAGATGGACTACCCAGGCCTATAGCCAGGCCAGAGCCTCAGAGGACGTGATTTTTTTTCTTTTGAGAACAGGCGAAAATCAATGCGCGCGCGGACGTCATCCATGAAATAAAATCGGTGTGGCCTTACTTCCCCGTAGTCTAACATAAGCTATGGTGTTGGGAACGGGGTGTTTAAGAGGCAATATATGAAAGAATGTGCAACCCCACCATCGACAGGGAGTGGGCGCTACGGGTAGATCTCTCAGACACTTGATTTTTGGCGCTCCCTGTCCCAAGGAATGTCAACACTTTGAATTGCCCCTTAACCACCATAGCTCATGGAACACTTTTTGACTAATTGCATCATCTTGTATTGACTTGTCTAACTTTTGTTTCTTTTTGGACTTCCAAAAATTTGTCTTCACTTATTTGCATATCAAACAATAGTTTGTGCTTATAAACTTGCATTTTCCTCTGGTCTGTCAATCACTGACGAAAGCTAGTGGATACTAGTTGAAAAGGTCTAACCGTTTCCAAAATTATCTCCAGTAAGTAACTGCTTTTTGGCGTGCCATAAGCTATCTCTATCCTCTGGTAGGGCATAATTCGGTTACTTCTCACTGCATATGTAACACTTTGATCTAAAAGAAAGAGATAGAGAGAGGCTACCAATTGACATATAGGCCTCAGACTTACACACATAATAATTATAGGCTAATTAGAAACACTATAAAACGGGTTCTTTAGGTCAAAGCCTATCCAGAACCGTGCCTGAAACAAACTCTAACCCATTCAATCATAGAACTAGATAGGCATGCATGCATGATTATAGTTACGATAGTTGCGTAACAATGAAAGATCCCGTTGCGCAATGTTTGTCAATATTTCTCGCACTCCAGAGACTAAAGTACGGCGTCGACCTTTCACCAGCTGACGGCAGGTACCAAACAGAGGTCATTCCGAACCGAACGTTCGGACGATACCAACAGAGAGGAGAGTGTTTCTTTGTCACACTTTCCCTTTTATTTCTTTGTTTGTTTGTCAGCTATGTAGCTAAAGTGTCCAACCAGTCAAATATTGGGTTGAGTTTGAGTTAGGGCAGCTTAACTGGTTTTGCTAATCGCGAGTAGTGTACGTGTAGTTATCGAGAAAGTTCTTAGAGACCAACAGCTAAACGTCCCGTCCCAAGGACTGCCCAAGGACTGCAACCTCTGTCACTACTGTCCAGTTCCAGGTCAAAACATCAGCGACAGCCAGCTCGGGAATCGAACCAGCGACCATGCGGTGCACAACTGGGATTCTTAGCTACTAGGACATTGAGGTGGTTTACCGATTCATGCAGTCTCCAGCTTTCGGCGATTGCTAAGTTGACCCGCTGTGACTATGAGACGCTAGTCACGACATGTTCACTAAGTACGTGGTACCGACTACTGAGGCTGGGACCAGGAGAGGGTCGGAGATGTGAGTATACAAACTTCTCTATGTGGTATTGTTGTATTCAGATCTAAATGGTTGGATACGCTAAGGCTGTCCAGAACTTTGCCTGATCCTAACCCATTCAGGCACAGAACTAGACAGGCACAGTTCTGTATACAATAGAGACTATCCAGAACCGTGCCTGATCCTTACCCTAACTAGCCTCTACCAGGCTTCGGGAGGCGACTGAAAATAGTAGAATATAGAGAGATAGCATGCCAAGGGAGTTTGGTCGAAGAGAGAACATTTCTCTGCCAAACTCCCTTGACATGTTATCTCCCTATTTGGCCAATTTCTACTCTTTTCAGCCGCCTCCCAAAGCCTGGTAGAAGCTAAACCCTAACCCACTCAGAACTGGATAGGCACAGTTCTGGGTACAACAGCCTCTCACCTGGTGGGGTCAATGTTTGTGAGCACGTCGCGCCCTGTCATCAGTGTTGACTGTTTGTCCCGAACCAGCGACCCTTGTTACCTTACAGATAGACTCGAAATCCAGTCTTAGGTTTAAATAAACATTTTGCTCTGTGTACCTAAGACGCGCTTTCTTTCCCCCAGCAAAGACCTCATTTTAATATTATAATGGCATTTAAATGAGCAGGGTGCAAGTAGAAGATCGTAAATATGCAATAGGTATGGTGATAATCGCTGTAGCTTCACCACCCACTGCCCCTCCTGCTATTTTGCATTTGTATGTGCTAACTTCACACTCTCTTTGAATTTTCAGTGTTCTTGTTCTTCTAGAACAAGGAGCTTTCGTCACATGTGATGAAAGCTCCTTGGTTAGAAGACTTTATGGCTTGAAACCTGCTTGAAAAGAAAGTAAAAATGAAAAACAATTAAAACACATTCCTAAATACAGCATGTATCCACCAGTATCTAACTCAAGTCTATATAACGGGGTCTTATAAATTGACGATGGAGCCGGGATTTCAACATGTGTGTTGCAAATTGTCTTTTAGGAAAATTAAAGTCAGTGAAGTTATAATGTTCTTGATTTCTCTTTTTGAACCTGCTTTGACCAATTTCTAATCTTTCCAGCCGCCTCCCGAAGACTTGTAAAGGCTACTGTAAGAGACTATGATGATCATATGGCATAGTTTACAAACAGGATTCAAGATGACCATTTTATGTGCTAATGTGTTCTCTAGTGGCCCCTATCAAGGACGTTTTATTCCGGCTTCGCCCCTAAAAATCTAATTTCAAAGAATCCAAAGCTATGTAACATTTCACGTCATCAAGACTGAATGTTAGGGAAGGACTGGGAAGCACGTACATTGCGCTCAAAATAAACATTGTGCAAACAGAGGGCCAACAAACTACATGTACTGTAAAAGCAAGGAAGTTTAGGGAGATACGGCGCATATGGATGTAGGTGCATGTTTGGAGCCAGACAAGTTAACTCAATTCACATTTTTCGTCTCACTGGGCTGGGAGTAAAAGTCTTGCAATTGTTAGATTTAACTCCTTTCTTCAGATGAATTATAAGACATCTATCTGTTTTCTGCCCAACAGGCAGAGCTGTTGTTCAGGTTTATAGCTGCTATCAATAAAACTACATTTCAAAGCTAGAACCTTGCACTCGAAGAGTAAGAAACAAATGTTTAAAAACAAAGACTTGTGGTAAAGTCTGAATTTGAATGGATACATGCTGCCGTCTGCCCGCTATGCATAATTAAAGATAATTGCCTGTAATGGCCTTGAGTGGAGGTGCGAAAACAATTAATTTCATTCACAGTCATGAGGACTGATAAAGATTGACAGGTCAAGGAAGTAAATCTACCAGAATTTAGACTTTTAAACTTTTAAGCCCGAGACCAAACTCTTCCCATGGGTTTACAAAGTTGAAATCGGGTGCAAACAATGCATAAGAAGTCCGTTTATATGAATCGGTTTTCAGAAAAACTACTTTATCCCCTTATATCTAGCTATTGGCAGATAAAGTCATAGCTAACCCCTAGAATTCTACCAAAATGGACTATATTACAAAATATTTTCAAATCTAAGCTATATTTTTCTTTTCTGGAAACCGATTCCGATAAAGTGCACATCTCTCCACATTCTCTGAAAGTTTTGTATTACAATTCTGAGCAGAAGGGTTTGGTCTAGGCCGATTTTATGGAGTCATAATGGTCTGATATTATTATCAATTATGGAACAATTATGCAGATTGTCGACGGAAAAAGTAATTATTTAGAATCAGTGGTATTTCATCTAAGTTACTTCCAAATTTGAAGTTGATTGGTCGAGCCAAACTGGAGATACATGCGATTTTACAGGTAGCTCTGTATCACCCCCATTTTAGTACAAAGCGCGTCTTAGGTACACGGAGTGCAACTCACGCACTATTGCATGCCACTGGATATTTAGCGTTACAACTTTCAAAATCTCCTTTCTTGTGGCGTTCCTACAGATAGAAAGTACATTAGAGATTTGGACGCGAGGGCCGAAGTCGAATAAAATTTTGGGCGCGTATACGGCCGACACAAAACATAAAAGTTATGTACATTTTGATGCCAGCGTTGAAAATAACTGCTATTTTTTCTTCTCAGTGTGTAAGAAGCTACAGTTTATCCTTACTTGCCAACAACAATAGATTCTGAACCATAGTCTAATCTTGTAGACAAGCTACGGCTTGTCAATTATGGGGGAAACTTTATTCTTTTTTAACAGGGAGGTTTTGCTTGAATCTTCTTGATTTCAACTTGTGAATCGGTGAATGTAAATTAAATCTACAGTCGATTTGTTGGTGCGAGTCATAGCGACGATTCTAAGTTCACTTCATAAATCGTTGAATGAATGAATGAATGAATGAATGAATGAATGACAAAGCGAAAGAAAGGGGTCTGAAATCGGAACTCTAAAAACCGTTAAAGCACCGGAGTAAGTTTAAACAAATTTCAAAAGTGCCCTTAAATTTGGACCAGTCGTCAGTGTTCGATTCTGTTCGTGCCCTGTCGTCTGGTTTGATCGGACTTTAAACGCCATTTCCACGTCTGCCTGCTAAAACCGCTGACATAACTTTTTTTGTTAATTTCCGGCAAATATGCTTCATGACATCATCTGTATCTGCCAGTATAACCGCCCCTCGGCTTCGCAGGCACGCGGCGCGGCGGCAGCTGGCTACATATATCACACTGAACGACTTGTTACAGCTAGCCCTTTAACATTGTTTAAAGCTATCTAATGATAATGCTCCTACTGTACTTGGTGACATATTATGACAGGACTGAGGGGAATTTCTGACTCGATTGAGCATGAATGTTCGGCCACCGTTTTCTTGTGTACTAAAGCAGATCTATAACTTATCATGAAAGTACATCTGTGTTGGTAGTTAACGTTACACGTTTGGTCCAACACAAGAAATTCTCTTACCTAGAGCTTTCGACCAGTCACTCTGGTTTTCCTCAGTAGACTGACCCCCAGTGTTGACGTCACATTTCAAAGAAGCCACGTGACAAGCTTCACTGGCTCAGTCTACTGAGGAAGACCAGAGTGACTGGTGGAAAGCTCTAGGTGAGAGAACTTTATTGTGTTGGACCAAAAGTTTTAACTTTAAACATATCTATAACTTGTTGACGTTTTCCTACACCTAGGTGGTTTCCTGAACAGGTGCCGGCTCACGTGACCAGCCGCCTCATCATGGCGGTCCCTACAGGACTGGTAGTGGTGAGTGAGGGGGGGGGGTTACGTATAGGGGGGTAACTACAGGTTGTACACAGGGGGGTACTTACAGGACTGATGGTGGTTAGTGGGGGGTACATCTAGGGGGTGCATATAGAGAGGTATATGCAGGGGGTAGACATGTGGGGTACCTACAGGACTGGTGGTGAGCAAGGGGTACATCGTAGGAGGGGGTACATCTAGGGGGGTTACCTCCAGGGGGTATATGTAGGGGGTACATCTAGGGCGGGTAACTACCTACATATGCAGGGGTACACACAGGGGGATCCCTACAGAACTGGTGGTGGTGAGTAGGGGGTACATTTGGGGGGGGGTACATCTAGAGGGGTTACCTCCAGGGGGTATATGTAGGGGGTACATCTAGGGGGGTTACCTCCAGGGGGTATATGTAGGGGGTACATCTAGGGGGGTACCTACATATGCAGGGGTACACACAGGGGGGGTACCTACAGGACTGGTGGTGGTGACTAGGGGGTACATCTAGGGGGGTACATCTAGGGGGGTTACCTCCAGGGGGTATATGTAGGGAGTACATCTAGGGGGTACCTACAGGAAGCATATGCAGGGGTACACAGGGTGTCCCTAGTAGCCAAGTATCAAAGAGTTGAAAGATAACTTTATTTTATTGCAATTTTTGGCGACGCGTCAGGGGCGGAGGCATTTTCTAATGCTATTTCTTTCCCTTACAGTGGCTGGGATCCCAGAACTACCGGGCCGGGCTTGTGGTGTGTCTGATGACGTGGTTTAGCCTGTACGTGGGGTGGGGCTCCTACATGTCTGTAGGGGACGATATCACGGGCTACAATAGGTAAGATGCACTGGTTTATCTTTTTTTATTCATCAAAACATAACACGGACAGTGTGACGCTGCACTTAAGTTAACAACTTATATTAACAGCGCCACACAACAAAAAAAGTACAATCAACATTCAAATACACAAAGTTGACATATCTGTGTGCCGTAGTCCCACCACACCATTTAAAAAATGCTAAATGCTAACAAAGTTATTTGAAATGTTAACCTATCTCTCATTGGCGGAAACACATCCGCCAATCAGAGCTAGAAGGAGAATTTAGGCCCATTAACACATGTAGTATTTGGACTTCTATATCTAATTGACTGTTAGAAACAGTCAAGCAGAGCTAGAAGCGCTTGGTATCTCCAATGTAAGCCTGAGTGAGTTGCATCGTTTCATAGTTGTCCACAGAGAGTAACAACGTGGAGCCTCTAGGAATATTTGGTTTATCTGCATTTACATTAACCTTCTCCTTGCTTCCTAATACCATAACCAATACAATTTCAGTGCGAACAGCAAACCTTAGTTCGCTGAAAGTTAAAGAACACACACCTATATGTTGAGAAGAGCAGGGGGGACCCAGTACACATATGTTAGTGTATTATCAATGGCATAACTAGTTTTGAATCACCTAGCTTGGAGCTGCTTCACCTTTTAACCTAATCGTTATTAAAGTTTGGATATAATGTTGCCTTTTCATATTTGTTATTCCTGCAGCCGTTCCGGTGTGTTTGACTGGGCTCTTGGCCGCCAGATGCAAAACTGGTCTTATCCAAGAAGGTGAGTCCTCTTGTACCCCCCTCTTCCCTTCCCCACACACTTGCGAATCCCTATCTTGCCCTTTCCGTCCCTTCCATGCTGATACAGTTTCTGTTTAGCGTAACTTAACAGGTCGTGCCGCGTGCCTGCAAATTTGATCAGTGGTAGTAGGCAGAAGGACAGTCATTTCAGTCTAGACATTGAAATATTTAACAAGGACATTATATAATGTATATAACAGTCAAACAATTATCCTTTGTGCATTTGCAGAGTGGTGAGAGACTATACCGGCATGTCTCTGCGCGGACTGGTATGGACCACGCCACAGGGATACGTCCTGTACCACCTCGGGCTGGGCTGGTGTCCTTCCGCCAGCGGTAAGTAGTGCTTACAACCTCTTCCTAACAGCTCCGTGTCATAATTACTATTATGAAGCAGTTTAAACTGTAATTTACAGCACGAAGGACAGGACTTACCCAAAGTTTCGATTGCACAACTCCAGTATTTGTCAAGGAAGGAGCAATAATCCCGTGTTAAAAATTACAGTTTAAACTCCTTCATAATGACTTCTACCAACACACATGAACTTTCAAGATACTCTACTATTAGTTGTATAATATGTCTGTGTGAGCACTATAAGCCCTTGTGTGGGTTTGTATGTAATGGCGTAATTAGGTGGCCGTTATGGCATACTAGTAGTTTCTCATTCTACCATGCAACAATCATATGAGAACCTTTGTACCAACAACTGTTAAACTCTGGAACAGTCTTCCAAGGGAGATCGCTAAGATCAGGGACAGACAAAGATTCAAACGTGAAGTTAATTCTTTCCTCAGCGCAAAACTCTGACAGCGTTCTGTCTACTAAGGCAGTCCTGCTGCTAATGCTGAGTGAGAGCTGACATAGATTTAAAAAAAAAACTTCAAGGTCATGCCATCAAACATGGCGACCAATGCGTAAGTCATAGTCACGTGACTGCAAACCTAGTCTAACAGTCGTCTCACCTTACAGGCGCCCTGATGGGATTGGTGTACTTCGCCGGTAACCATGGGAACGTGACGCTGTGCCACCACAGCGCATGCTCCGAGTACCTGTGGGGCTTCTGGGTGTGGCTGGTCTTGCTGACGTCATCGCTCTACGGCGCCGTCACCAGAGCGAGGGCGAGTTACCCGGATGTGCACCCAGAATCCTCTCTGGTGCCCCCGCCGAGTTCGAAACTGGACTCGACCTTCTCCAAGGTCGTTTTCGAACTTTTTCACCTCGTCTTCGGTCTAATCCTCGGCTGCTCGATTTGCTACTACGCTCTAGTAGAGCAAAACGACTTGAAAAACAAAGGACAGACATTTTTGGCGACGCCTCAGGGGCGGAGGCATTTGTGTAAGTACTACGATCGCTTTGAAAGAATTTCAAAAATTGCATGAATGCATTCCCTAGGGAATTGGTTTTGAGGTAGCCTCCGGCCTTGTGGTCATCAGAACAAGCAGGAAAGGCTTATGTTACCATGCATGCAATAGCACCTTTTCGGGCAAACTGTGGCTTTTTGCACACAGAATATTAATGATTGTCTTTATTGATATTTCAAATATGTTTTCTTCTATCAAGAGAGAACAAATTTCTTACTCAGGAGCATATTCAAGCTTATAATATTTCAAATGTGTTTTTAGTTGAAACTATATGATGCTGGTCGTTTTTTTATAACTTTACTGTGTGACACATGTAGTGTAACAGTGATGTTTTGTGTAAGGAATTTTATTCACTTGTGTGTTTTCTATCATGTATGTTTGTGTCAGTCTTGCTTTTTTATTTATTATTTTCTTCGCTTTCATGATGCTGTTGCATTCCATGCTTGTTTTTCAATTTTGGCTGCAAAACATGAATGCACACCCCAATCCTTCCACGACTAGGTTTCATGCTAAGGTTTCATGCTAGCCAGTGAACTCCTGCTGTAGTCTGCATCTCAGGGTACGGTGGACATGGCGAAGTTTACCTGTGGGTATAAAGACAGAAAAGGGCATAAATGAAACGTATATCTGAATTAAGTTTGAATAAGTTCTTGTATTGTACTGGTAATTGTGAGTTGTTATGTATCACCTTATGGACAAAAATGGCTGTTTGAAACTTATTTATGTCATATACCGTCAAGATTTTCAAATCGTGAAATAGAACCATATCGTCATAATATTATAATTGTAATAAAAAGTTTAAGAGTATTTTATTTCAGTATAGCCTGGCAGTTAGACCATCGTAGACTGCCTGGTATCCGT